TTGGGCCTAGACCCTTCAGTGAGGCCGCCTCTCATTCTTGTCTATTGCAATGAGTACAGGTCCAATCTACTCAACCTATCCTCATAAGACAGTCTCTCTATATCCGCTTTCAGCCTAGTGAATGTTATTTGATCCAGGGACCAAAACTGTTCACAGTAATCTTATTATAGTCACATTCATGCCTGCTATAGTTTTAGCAAAACCTCCCTAGTTTTATACTGCATTCCCTTTTAAATAAAGCCCAACATTCTATTTTTCTTCACTATTACCTACTGAACTGTTTGCTAGCTTTTTGTGATTCATGGCTGAGGATTCCCAAATCCCTCTGTTCTGTAGCTTTTGGCAGTTTTTCTCCACTTAAAAAAATTTGACATAGCTGCATCCACAGTGCTGTAAGAAGGAAGTTTTAGGTCATCGACCCAATAATTACATATATGTAGCTTAAGGCTATTTCAGAGGACAGTTAATTGTCAATTGCATTGTTGTGGGTCTTGAGTCACATATAGACTGGACTGGGTAATTGTGTTCATTTACCTTCACTGAAGGATAATCATGGCCACCATTAATGAAGCTAGCTTTTATTCCAAATTTATTTCCTGAAATGTAAATTATCATGCTGCCATGATGGGATTTGAAATAAACAATTAAAGTAAAATACTACGGATGTTGGAAATCTGAAACAAACAGAAAATGCTGGAGAAATTCAGCAGGTAATGGCGGATTTTGCTACTACAAAGTTATTGGAAGAAATGAACCTTCTTTCTTATCTGCTGCTTAATGAGTCACGCAGTACCCTCCAGCCAAGCTGAGACATTTACGGCAGGTTCTGCTATATTGGGATATAGGAAATAGGAGCAGGATCAGGCTATTTGGCCAAGAAATCACTTTTCCATTCAACTGAGTCATGACTGATCCTCTGCCCCACTGCCATTTTCTAACACAATTCCCATGTTCCTTTAATATCCAGAAATCTATTGATCTCTGTTGTGAATATGCTCAATCACCCAGCCTCTATAGCCTTCTGGGATAAAGAATTCCAAGGACTCACCATTCTCTAAAGTGAAGAAATTTCTCCTCATCATCTCACCATGAAGAGACCTTTCCCCTCTCTCCTCAAACAATGATAGGGTTGCTCCTGCCCTCATTTTCCACCCCACCAGCCTCTATATTCAAAGGTTCATCCTCTGTCATTTTGGCCACTTTCAACAGTATGCCACCACCAAAAATATCTTTGCCTACCTTCCCTGTCAACATTTTACAGGGACCCTTCGCCACACCCTGATCCATTCCTCTGTCACTCCCAACACCTCTTCACCTCTCCATGGTACTTTCCCATACCATCACATGAGAACATACAAAATTGGAGCAGGAGTAGGCCATCTGGATCCTCAAGCTGCCTGCTCACCATTCAATAAGATCATGGCTGCTTTTCATGGACTCAGCTCCACTTACCCGCCTGCTCACCATAACCCTTAATTCCTTTACTGTTCAAAAATCTATCTTTACCTTAAAAACGTTGAATGAGGTAGCCTCAACTGCTTCACTGGGCAGGAAATTCTACAGATTCGCAATGCTTTGGGAGAAGTTCCTCCTCAACTCAGTTGTAAGCTTGTTCTCCTTATTTTCAGGCTACGCTCCCTAATTCTATTTGGAAGGTGTAATGTTTTCCTCTTTTCTTCCACTGCCCTCAATGCCCAAGGCTCCAAACACAGCAGGTGATTAACAATTTACTCATACTTAAATCAAACTGGTCTACTGTGTTGTCTGCTCACAAATGGGGTGAAACGAAATACATACTGCCTGACAGACTCCGCCCTGTCTTTACTCTGCTCCGTCCTCAAGCAAGACCCTACCTTCTGTCACTTACCATTTTAATACACTATCTTACTGCCGTGCTAACACTTCTGTCCTAGGCCTGCTGCAGTGCTCCAATGCAAGCTGAAGGAAGAGCACCTCATTTTATGTTTGGGCATTTTAAAGCCTTCAGGACTCAAGATTGAGTTCAACAACTTCAGACCATAAGCTCTGTCCTCCAATTTAAGACCATAAGACATAGGAGCAGAAGTGGGCCATTCCATGCATTGTGTCTGCTCCACCATTAGGAACATAGGGACATAAGAACATAGAAACAGGACTAGACCATTTAGGCCTTTGAGCCTGTGCCACCGATCAATCATATCATGGCTGATTTGTGGCCTAACTCCATAACTCCTTTGGCTCATTTCCCTTAATACCTTTACTTAACAAAAATATATTTCGGTCAAATTTAAAATTAACAACTGATCCAACATCCACTGCCATTTATGGAAGAGAGCTCCAAACCTCTACCACCCCTTGTGTGTAGAAGTGCTTACTAACATCTCTCTTGAATAGTCTGGCTCTAATTCTCAGACTATGCTCCTAATTCTAGAATCCCCAACCAGTGGAAATAGTTTATTTTTATCTACTCTGTCTTTTGCTGTTAATATCTTGAAGACTTTGATCATATCAAGCCTTGATTATTTTCTGCACCTGTTTGTGATATTTTAAAGATCTATGTACCTGAAGGTGCTGAGTGACATTGTGTTGAATAGCACTGTATCCTAGTACCAATCGCAGGAGCAACTTAAAGACAGAAACCACCTTTTACTATTCACATGTTGCTGAAGTTTTGAAGACGACTTTTGAAACACATCAGGAATTTCTATGGGATACTTTGTCAAGTGTTCTCCAACATATTTTTCAATATAATAGTATAAAACAACAGCGGATGCTGGAAATCTGAAACAAAAACATAAATTGCTGGAGAAACTGAACAGGTCTGGCAGCATGTGGAGAGAAAACAGAGTCAACATTTCAAGTCCAGTGACATTTCAGAACTTTATCAGCATTTGTTTTGGCATTTTTCTGAGGACATTATCTGAAAAGAATAAATGCTGTGCTATTCTATCATGTAGGGCACCTCATAGGCATCACAGGAAGGAAGTGACTAGAAGATTATCAGCATCTTGCCACGAGATACCCCTTGGTCTGCAGGAAAGGGACAGAAGAGCACCAGCTGCTGCACGAGATGGGAACAGGAGGCCAACTTGGACCCCTTCTCCTCTATGCATTCAGCATATCCCTCCTTCACTGGACCTTCTCCACCAGGACCTCCAATGGGGTTGTTGATTTGTTTGCCGAGCTGGTAGGTTGGTTTGCAGATGTTTCGTCACCATACTAGATAACATCATCAGTGCGCCTCCGATGAAGCATTTTTGGTCTGTCCCGCTTGTTATTTATGTGGGTCTGGTTTGATGTGGTGGTTGGCCTAATTTCTAGTCCTGCTTTGTAGTTGTTGGTGTATGGGGTCTATTTCCACCATACATGAGCACCAACTAGCTACCAAGAGACACAACCATCACTCATTTCCATACACTCAGACAAAGGTGGCCACCAATTCAACTGGGACAACGTAACCATCCTAGGACAAGCCAACCAAAAACACGTATGGGAATTCCTCAACCCGGAACTCCATCGACAAACCTGTGGAAATAAACCCCATACATCAACCACTACAAAGCAGAACCGGAAATGAGGCCATACACCACATCAAACTGGACCACATAAATAACAAGCAGGACAGACCAACAGCGCTTCATCAGAGGCGCACTGATGATGTTACCTTGTATGGCGATGAAACGTCTGCAAACCAACCTAACAGCTCAGCGAACAAATCAACAACCCCATCCACAACCCAAGCTACAAGTCTTCTCAAAAACTTTAAAAGACCTCCAATGTTCAATCTGAAAACCCATGTACCCTCTCTTTGAACTCTGAGTCATCATGCCATGTATTAACATGTGTCAATCATCACGCTGCTCACCTTCACTGGAAGTGAATGCTTAGGATCCACTGCCCCATGAAAACTGTTTTTAATTAGAGCTCAAGTGCTAAACCAGCAGGAGTCTGTCTTAGCAGCTCTAGCCAAGTTTAAATTATTTTAATCAGTAAATGAGTCCAAAATTCCATGCTGCGAGTACATTTTCAAATAAACTTATGTTGTTACAGCATCCATTTCATGCCTTTTCTTACTGTTCAAAATTTTGACCATCGTATTCTATCTCTGTTCATAGAAAATCAGATTACAAATTTATTGTTGTTATATGGACTTGTCTGAGGGGAGTCTCTGATTTTCATTCTAAACTGCTTTTGTATTTCATTTACCTCTCAAAATGATGTGTTCCTACATTTTATCCACCACTGACAAAAAAACGCAATATTTGAAATGTTATTTGAAGTATTAATATTTCAATACAATTCCAATAATATTTAGAGGATATCCTTTGGTGGTTTCTTGCATTGTTACTTCTGGAGACCACCAAGCAATCATTGACCCCATCATCTTTCTCAAATATACAATCTCTCATTCTCATCATATTTTAGATGCAGTTTCAATTATTCCAATGATCTCAGTCACCTTTTTACGTTTCATCCTGCAAAAGGTATCCTCCATCCAGTCACTCCCTTACTGTCTGATTTATGTTAATTCCTGGTCCATGAGCTCCTCTGTTTTGAAATTCTTATCCTTCTGTTCAAAGTCTTCCATAATCTCATCTCTATAACATCCTCCAGTCTAATAAAGCTCTGAGATATCCAAATCCAGTCTATTGGACATCCCTACCATTAGCAATGTTCTTTCAGTTGCCTAGGTGCTAGACTCTCTAGTTTCCTCTCTAAAGCTCTTGTCTCTCCATCTCCCTCTTCCTTTAAGACTGTCCTTATAACTTATCTCTGCCAGCAAACTTTTGGTCACCTGTTCTAATATATGTGGCATTTTTTTGTTTGATAACGCTTTTGTGACACATCTTGAGATGTAAAGGTTCCATTTAAATGCAAGCTGTTGTTACTGTTCTATGTAGAAGGAATTACTTGCAATGCAAATTTACCATTTCCTGAACTTTAGAGAAGTAACTAGGCATTCTGTAAATTATTAAGGTAGCCAACTCATATTTGCAGTAAAGGTAATTTTTCTTTTGCAGCCCTGTGCTTTCAAGTGCTTTGGCCTCTGTAATGGAAAAATGGGATCTGCCTATTTTCACACTGCCTTTTAATATTATTCTGTCGATGTTTATGGCTGCTACAGGACATAACAACCAACATTTTCCCCAGGTTCTCATTCAACCTGTGACTGGACCATTCAATGTCACATGGGCAGATCTCAGTGTTACCATGGTGAGTAAAACTGTTCTGGAGAATCTTAACTTCATTTATTGTGGAAACGACAGGCATATATATTATTTATCACATATATACGTCAGCAGTATTAAATACTTGCAACAAAATGTTACATGTAAAACTGAATGATTTTAAGATCCTAAACAACATTTGTGTTTACATGTCAGCAGCTTCCATGACATCACATTTAAAGAAATCAAATAATGACTTCCTGCCTATTTTTTAATCAGCTTCTTAGAGCTGTCCCGATGGGTGTTGCCCAGGTGTTTGGCTGTGATAATCCCTGGATTGGTGGTGTGTTCCTTATTGCATTAATTATCTCATCTCCAATTATATGTCTGCATGCTACAATTGGATCCTGTCTCGGTATACTCGCAGGTAAGATTGTAGCAGAAGATTCTGGAAAAAGTGATGTTAAGTCCATGGTGAAAATAGGTCAGTGTAGGGAACCTGCATGCTGGCTGCTTAGACTCATTTAAGATCATTATCTGCAGTCTACTAGGATTTGCTGGTGTTTCAGGGAGTTTTCCTACCCCATATGGGTTTCCTTTTCATTAGGTTGTGTTTACCAGCAATATTCCAGGAGGTCCATCTTTCAAAGGCATTTAGTGCCCAATTGAAGAACTGGGTATTAGGAAAGGGGTGTGTCCAGTGAAAGCCAATCCCTGCCTTTATATCTGAAACCCCTTCCTATCTCTCACTATCTATACCACATCCACAATCCCTGCCCCACTCACATCACCCCAAGGGTCCCACTATGATATCTGGTGAAGGCCTCAATGTATTACTGGCAAATCATTATGTAGTAAATGTTACCCTCTTACAAACTTTGGAAGATTAAATGAGGAGCAATTCTTTCCCGCAGCAGAAGAATCAGTAACAGAAGATACAAATTTAAGGTTAATATTAAAGAAAAAATTTGTGGATGCTGAAAATCTAAAATAAGAATAATAAAGGTTTGGGAAATACAGCAGGTCAGACACTAGAGACAATGGAGCTGGAGGAACCCAGCAGGCCAGGCAGCATCAGAGGAGCAGGAAAGTTGACGTTTCGGGTCGGGACCTTTCTTCAGAAATGAGTCAGACACTATCTGTGTGAAGGAAAAGAATTAACACTTCATCAGAGCTGAAATGAAATAGAATTTTAGGAGCTTTAAAGGCAGTGAGACATTGCCTTCAAAGCACAATCAAAATGTTCTAAAATGTTCAAGCTTATAAATTACTTTTCATTAAATGCAATCCATAACAAGCTCCAAATTAAAAAAGTGAAATCAATGACCCAATATCTACTTTTGGCAGAGAGTTAAGTGTTGATGTAACACCAGGAGATTTCCATGCTCTTTTTGAGATAGTAACATTCCATTTATTTTATCCACTTTAACAAGGAAATAGACCCAAGTCTAACATTTTATATAACAATATGGCACTTCTGTTTAATCCTAAAGCGTCTTCCTACATTCTTGGCTGAAATCCTGAAATGGAACTTGAATCACCATACCTACTGGCACAGTTACCACAGAGCAAAGGCTGATACAAAATCACAATAACTGAACAGGTCAAACTAAACGAATGAGGCAAATATTGTTATGCCTGGATCTTATGAAATGGCTGTCAAGTTATGCACATCATTATTGTGAGAGTGCTAACTTCATCAGCAGCACAGGACTAGTTTGCAAGACGGTATGATTTTTATTAAAGCAAGATTGTGCAGAGGTGTGAATTCCGCAAGACATTCTTTATAAGTAACTAAATTAGTTGCAGTTTGTTTATTGTGGATCAGTTTAGTTCGACAAAATTTATCTTATTAAAATTACGATTCAGATTTCAAATCGTAGCCACACTGTAGCCATATACTATGAAGAAGGACCATTCAATCACACCCAGAATATAACCTGCAATGCCTTCTCCTCTTCATCCCACACTAGACCTCTGGTTTCCCACTACATCTATTATTGGAGCCCTCCCACTTCTCAGCTACATGAGATGTTTCATTTGACTGGTTCCTAGAATAAGGAGTAGAGTGTTATGAGGAAAGGTTAGATCTGTATTTATTGGAATTTTAAAGAATGAGATTTGATCTAATTGAAAGATGTGATACTGATGGGACTTGATAAGGCATATGCTTAAAAAGAAGGTATCCTTTTGCAGAATGAACTGGAACTAGGGGACATAGTTTAAAATCAGGCATCATCTATTTAAGACATAAATAAGGAGATCTTTTTTCCTGTGGCTGGTGGGTGTTTGGAGCTCTTTTACCCAGAGAACAATGGAGTCACCAAATATTTCTGAAGCAGATGTGAATAGATTCTTGACTAAGAAAGGAATCAAAGATTATCTGGAGTTGGTTAGAATGTGAAACTTGGGCCACAGTCAGCCATGATCTTCCTGTTTGCCTCATCTGCTGCTGAAACTCTTATCCATGTCTTTGTTACCTCTAGACATGACCAGCCCAACACATTACTGGCTAACTTGTTCTATACTCCAAAAATCGAAGTCATTCCAAACTCTACTGCCTGTGGTCTTAATTCACACCAAATTCCATTCACCCATCTCCCCTGTGTTGGCTAACCTGCACTGGCTTCCAGTAAAGCAAGGTTTTGATTTTAAAATCTCACTATTGTTTTTAAATTCTCTCTTGGCCTCACCTGCCTTGTCACTCTGTGATTTTCACCAGTTCTAGAGCGCTATGATTTTGCATTCTTCCAATTCTGGCTTCTTGAGCACCCCTATTTCTAATTGTTCCACCACTGATGGCCATGCCTTTAGCTGTCTTTGTCCTAAGCTTTAGAATTCTCTCCCTAAATTCGACTAGCATTCTATCAATCTTTCTTCCTTTAAAGTACTCCTTAAATAGATTTCTTTAACCAACCCACTTCCTTCTAACCATCACCACCCACTTCCCACATTTCTCTTCCAACCCAGGGATAAGCTCTCTCCTAAATCACTTTCAAACTTCCGTGAGATTAGCCTTTGCCTTTCATTTGGCAGATATCAAAATGGTCAGCTATCCCCTTGCAGAGATAGTAGGAACTGCCGATGCTGGAGAATCTGCGATAACAAGGTGTAGAGCTGGATGAACACAGCAGGCCAAGCAGCATCAGAGGAGCAGGAAGGCTGACGTTTCGGGCCTAGACCCTTCTTTTTTTTTCTGAAGAAGGGTCT